AGGCTTGCTCGGTACAACAAGAAGCCGACGATTACTTCCAGGGAGATTCAGACCGCCGTGAGACTTGTACTTCCCGGTGAATTGGCGAAACACGCTGTATCTGAAGGTACAAAGGCTGTAACCAAGTTTACAAGCTCTTAGAGATTTGCGTAGATGATCTCCTGCGTTTTGTTGTAAAAATTCGAAGTGGATCTTGAGTTGAAACTTATGTAATCATTCGGTGATAAAATGATATGATATGGAATTTAGGTTTTCGTGAATTTGTTCAATTTTATTCAGTTCGATTGATCTACGAATTTGGGGATTTTAACCCTAAATTTGAATCAAGCAAAGGTTAATCACTTCTGTTTCAGCTTCTTCTCCATGCTTTGTCTTGTCAATCTTGCCACAATGGATTCAACTGATTTCTTTCTTTAGTATTTTCATCGTTTGTTTTTCTGATTTTGTTCTTGATCGATTGTGTCCATATCAAGTTCATTAAGGGATTACGTTAGGAGGCTGATTTTCATTTGCAATATTGGTGTGTAAACTCGCCATTCCTCTCTCGTCTCATACTCTAGCATGTAAGGTTAATTTCGGATAAAGATTAAGGGGACATTTGACAAACGCTTATTAAGTCACATTACCTTATCGAATGACATAACAAAGATCAAAAATCTTAGGCAATAAGTGAGAGTGACAAATTTCACTTGGTTAGCACTTACTGGGGGTGAATTATTGCATAACATGCCGTTTTGATAGATTAAAATCTTACCCCATAACGTAACTGATAGTGTTGTCCTGCCCAAAGTTTCAACACATTAGGCTAACAATATTATGCTAGCATACATAATGCTAGTAGGATGCTCACAATAGGAGAAGCTAGTACAAAACTTTGCGATGAATATTACATAGCCCTGCACATACTGCTCACAAAGGGTTTTCATGAAAATTTCAGACTTGTATGCAAAGAGGACGTTCAAATGAATGTGAGAATATAGCCAATTCTTTCTTTGACCTTGAGGCTCATGATCTTGAACTTAACCTTGGTCCTTTGGTCCAACTGCTTTTCCTTTTTTTTGTTTGCTTGTTTGAACAAACTTGAAAATTGTCATCGATTTATGTCAGTGAGTATATAAATGCAGATAATTCACTTGGAACATCATATGCCACAATCCACATCCAACCTGTACCTGTTATGCAAAAGGGAGATGATTACCTGTCGCAATAATACTTTCCCCAACATCACCCATTTTAAGTTTATTTACTTAATCAACAACTATCATTTCACCTTGTAAAGAATGACCACAATCTTAAGTTCTTAACGACTATCATTATTGTGAAACCTGATTATGTGCAACTCCCTAATTGATTGTATAATACTCTAAATCCAATACCATTTTAACAAAAATGCGTTTTAATTACAGCCAAACAGGAAGAATCAAAGAAATTGATGGGTTACCTGAAAATAAGAAGATCGAACCAAATGGTTTACATGAAATTGTATGAGAAGCAAGAAAAAAAAACCCTAAATCGATGGAGCACGGGGCGCATGAAGCAGCGATACTACAAATAAAATCTGCCTCGGAGGCTGAATCGTTGTCTTGGAGAAAACATTCGTTGCTTGAATCTAAGTTGTAAAATGAATCGTCACTATATGAAGGTCATTGGTGGGGTGTGAATTTGAGTTGTAAAAGGCTTTTATGCACAGTGGAGTCATAACTTAGGATATTAAAGTTGTAATTAAGACTTTGTGCATCAAAATATAGTACTTTATGCATTTTAGATTGTTTTCAAGACTTTTATCAAATCTATAGTAAACATTAACATAAAAATAGTTTTGATCACGATTTTTGACAAAAGACAAATGAAAATAACTCAAATAAAGAATTTGTAACATAAAAACCTTAAAGAAAAAAATTGATATATAATCAATGAAAACGTGGTTCCCAAAATGTCAAATGCAAGAGTCACTAAAATACATTGGTTGCAAAAGATATGATATGAAAGATAACTAATCGTCATAATTCCCTACTCGGTCAGAGGGATGCACACCCTCTCATCGGATCAAACAATATCGATATAAACCATATACATGAATGATTTGTGAATATCGAAATGGTCTACCGCTTTGTCTTTATCAAACAGGACATAACAAAACAAAACAAGAAAGACGTCACATACACAGAAAAAAACAGAACTTTTGTTCACTGTTTGGTAAGACCAGACATTATTGGACAAAAACAGAGAATCAAGTTTTAGCTTGAGTGTATAATGGTAAAATTTAGGCTTGTTCCACTTTGTTTTTATATATTACGTATAAAAATTATGTCAAATATGAAATAATGATTTACATTTTGTTCTGTTCAATATACCAAAAAGGACACGTCCTGTAATTTTCGAAGAGAAGAGAAATTTAGATTCCTATTTATATATATTTTAAGTTTTATCATTTTATATTACAATAAAAAAAACACCAAACTCAACAACCCATGCGAAAACCATGTTGACCGTACGCGCGAAAGCCCAAATTTCGAAAACTTTCAGATGACTTCAATCTCAACCGTTGATTAACATATCCATATTATCTACGGTCTCAATTCATAATCGGTGTCAACCGATATCCACCAATCAGATAACAGCTTTACCCTTATATATAAACATCAACAACCTACCTTTCCTTCCACCAACACGCAAAGCATCCATTTCTCTCTTAACTTCAAACCAAACACCTTTTTCGATGGCACCCAAGGCAGAGAAGAAACCGGCGGAGAAGAAGCCGGCCGCCGAGAAAGCTCCTGCGGAGAAGAAGCCGAGAGCCGAGAAGAAACTCCCGAAGGATGCGTCGGCAACCGATAAGAAGAAGAAGAGGAACAAGAAGTCGGTGGAGACTTACAAGATCTACATCTTCAAGGTTTTGAAGCAGGTTCATCCTGACATTGGAATCTCAAGCAAAGCTATGGGGATTATGAACTCGTTTATCAACGATATCTTCGAGAAGTTGGCTCAGGAGTCTTCGAGGCTTGCTCGGTACAACAAGAAGCCGACGATTACTTCCAGGGAGATTCAGACCGCCGTGAGACTTGTACTTCCCGGTGAATTGGCGAAACACGC